CTTATTAAAGTTTACCTTTTTTTCTTTTTTTTTTTTTTTTTTTTTTTTTTTTTTTTTTTGGATTTTTTAGAATTATTACATTGATAATTCAGAGGGAACAATGTTTCCACTGAATTTGTAGAATCCATCATTAGCTGGTTTTCTTCTGCATGTCAATTGTTTGTCAATAGAGCAATTTGTGCCTTTGCAAGTTAGATTGGTTGTGTTCTTGAATGTAAGGAACCGGTCGTAGGGGTTGCGGAGAGAAACCATTCTTCCCCATTTTGGTCTTCCAAGGGGATGATTCTTGTGATGCTTTACGCAGTCTGTCTTTCTCCAAAAATTAAAAAAAAAAAAACGACTTCTACAGGGACAGGTTGTACTGTGTTCTGAAGTTCTTATGCAGAGATAGAACAAAAAATGAAGTTAGCGTGCTAAATTTTAACATCTGATTTGAGTTAAGATGGACGATTCACACCACTATTTGCGAGGTTCACACCACTATTTGTGGCAGGGTCCAATAGGATCACTACTCTTTTTTTTTATATGAAACACAAAGTTGTTTTCATCTCTATTATCTAGTTTTGTTTTTTCTATTTTTCCTTTATTTTTTTAGGAACCCACTTTCCTTTTTTTCATGGGTCATCTATATTAACTTTATTCAAAGCTCTGCGTGTATTTGCTCATTTCATTTCATTTCAATAAGCATTTGTTAATGAAATTTTGTAATGAGTTGTCTTGCTCGAAATTTTTTATTTGTACCCACTTTCCTTAATTTTTCATGGGTCTACCATGTATTTACTCAATACATTTTTTGAAATTTTTTTCTTATGTTAATTCTTAGCTACCGTCTCTCTCTACTCTCTCTTTCCCTCATCCCCCACAACTGGTCAATCTCTCTCTACTCTTTCTCCACCCATCACCATTCTCTCTCTCGCTCCCCTGCTATGCCTCTTCCATTTTTTTTTATATCCTCGCTCTCTCTCTCTTAATGGACTTTCTCTCTCTTTTGCTGTCTTGCTTTCATGGAGGGAGAAACTAAAAACATATAAAAAGCAAAGAAACAGATAATAACAATAATAGGTTTCACTCTCATTCTCAAAGTGTCTCGGACCAAACCTCTAATAAATAGAGCCACAAGAACCAAACCTCTAATAAATAAAGTCACAAGAACCACATATACTGGTCCCACCATTTTGGCAAGAACACCAATCATTATGGGGGAACCCAATATCACATTGACAATCACACAGAATTGGGTAAAGGGAAGGCCACCGGTATGCGATAGTGTTCCCTTGCCTTAGTGTGCAGTCCACACATTGGTGAAATACTTGAATGTGGCGATTTGCTTCAACCAGAACTCTACAGGTAAGGATGCATTTATATGCAAACCGCACCCTTATTTTAAAGTTTTGAGTCTTTTGACTTCTGACTTACAATCTCTCGGTGGATTACGTCCCACACTTAATCAAGCATAGTACATTTGATTTTTTATTGGTCAAAAGTTGCGAATAAAATGAGTAAATGAAAATTGCATCCTGTAACTTGTATATAGTCCAACTCCAAAAATTTGATGCTCTGGTGTTGTAGGGACTAGGGACTTCTCCTAAACAAAAAAAATGGTTTCAAAGATAAATGATGTTCTCAAAAATAAAAATTTATTATGAAAAAATCGTAGTGCAAAGCAAACATGCAATGTTATGTGCCCTGTCATAATGAGCGTGAAGATGTGGAATATTTAAGTATGAATTATTATAAAATTCTCATTTACAATCTCTTTGTGGAATACATTTCACATTTATTGAGTAGTCAATGGTTGCGTAAAAGATGAGTAAAAAATATTAGCATCTTGTATCTTGTGGTTAGGTGAAAAAGATCGAGTATAAGATCATTGCTTGGAACATGTGATTAAGTGTCCACCTTTTGCTTTGGTGTAGTAGGGACTGCTTCTCTTCAACAAATAAATAAAAAGGAATTCACATAAAACAGATGTTCTAAACAAAAAATATTAATGAAAAAACTTAGTGCAAAAGTAACAGACTGAGCTATGTGCTTTTTAATGAGGGTAAAGATGTGGAATACTTAATCTTAAGTTCTTAACCCTAAATAACTCTTAATGATCACATGGTCACGTCCTCTTAGTTCCAAAAAATCTAACCTTCAAATGGTCCAATAGTTATTAAGTTATAACCGCCATTGTTACCTGCAAAAGACATCACCGTCATGTTTAGTAGTTAGTACTTTAAAACTCTAAATATTTAAATTTGAAAGTTCATTCTCTTGAAGGAGCGAGTTGGTGATCCAGTGCTAGCTTTGCCGATCACGTTCTCCCTCAGATGATACACTAACAAATGTCGATGCCACCATCTTTCCTTCATGCACAACAGGCAGCCTTGTCGCTGCAACACTGCCTATAGGCCCTATATCACACACTGTCATGGCTTGAGCTTGAGAAAACCCAAAATCCTCTAATGTCTAAAGACTCTCAGCTATCTTCACAGTGACACCTAACACTTCCTAAATGGTATTGCAGTACTCCTAATGTCTAAAAAGGCTACCCAATGAAACCTGACCAACTCACCCCTTCAATACTTCAGAAATTTGATTCCAAATATGTTAGAATCACGATTCTACATAGCAACATATCTACGTACCACATATGTCAGAAACTCGAATCAAGTGATGTCGAAAACTCAATTACGCTATTGTAATTCTCCATCTCAATTCTCAAACCAGTATGGATCTCTTATCCATATACTTCAGAAACTTGATTCCAAATACATTAGAAACAAGATTCCATAGATGATGGAAACTCAATTCCAAATATGTTAGAATCACAATTCCATAAATGATGAAAACTCGATTCCGCATATGTCGGAACTCGATTCCATAGATGACAGAAACTCGATTCCGCATATTAATAAAACTTGACACTTGGAGTGTTGAACCCAGGGGATGGGAATCTCGATTCCAAGGAGGCCGGAATCTCAATTCCATACGTGGATGAACTTTGGACCTATTCCGATCAATAATCGATTCCTGAAAATTAGGAATGCCATTCTCAACGATTCCTATTGTACGGACAACGATTCCTACAACAGGAAACTTCTAGCTAGACGCGATTCCATGATTCCAGTTCCTGAAACGATTCGGGTTCCCAGGCGTTTCCAACAATAATGGTTCAGCCTTTCTTTCATCCAATGCTTTGACCACTTACTTTAACTCCATTGTTTTGAAGCAAACATGGTCCTCAAGGCGTTTTTTTGCTTGTATAGGCCTTGAAAAGTGAGAAATGATGTGGCAAATCTAGTGACACCCGGTCTCACTAATTCTCTTTTCTCTGTAGAACTCCTCATCATGCTATAAGGACTATGGTGTGATTCTAAATAAATCCAACAACATAGCTTTTGAAATCACCCCACTAAATATAGATGTAGTAACCATTTCCTTAAGCATGAGATTGACACAATGAGCTACGCAACTAGTCCAAAACATACATGTCCTCTTCAAAGTCAATAAATGCCTAGCTGCAACGTAATTGGCACCATTATCAGTGACAATTGGTACCACATGTTTCTCTCCAAAAACCTCTATTATCCCATCTATCAAGCCACAAAAGTATGTAGCATCATGTGACTTGTTTGATGCATCAACAAACTTAATAAAAAAAGTACATGTTGGACAGTTAACCAAAAAATTAATGAATGACCTCAACTTCCCATCAGACCATCCATCACACATAATAGTTGCTCCATACTTCTCCCACCCTTCTCTTTGAGAAATCAAAATTTTGTTAACATCACATAAGGCATCCTTCAATAAGGGCTCCCTAGTCTCATTTAGTGATGGAGGATTAAGTCCTTGACCAAATTGCCCAATTGCTTGGCCCATACATGGAGAACTATCGAGGATTATAGTACTGAAAGGAATGTTGGCCATGTAAAACCACTTTGCAATGTACTTACATACCTTCTTCCTCTCTTCTTTCTTGTATCGATTTTCAATTAAGGTTTGTTTTATTTTTTTCCTCCTCTCCTGAACCATAATTTTGGAGTCAGGGGTGAAAAAATTATATATTGCCCTTTAGAGAGAGGTATTTTTTTCCAACGCTACCACCAATATTTATAACCCTCTCTCTTGATATTGGAGTACCCATTTGCCTCATTACAACTTCTGACATATCCTCCTCCTCATCATCATCATCATCAAATAATTGCATTTCATTAATTAATTCTTTGGGTTTCATTTTTTTCTTCCCTTTTTGTTTTTTCAAGCAATCCATGTAGTCTCTAATCTCTTTGGTAGCTTGTGGGCATGCTCTTACATTCCCAAAAATACCGGCTAATTGCTCTTTTTACCGAAAAATACCCCCCATATAAGTATTTCCACAAAGCATACAAATCATACAATTTCGATCTTTCTGATTTTTTTAGTTTGGCATATGTCCAAGCCAGATCCTTGTTATTAGAAGATTGGGAAGAAGACAGTGCCCCAAAAAAAGTATTACTGTAGTACGAACAAAAAAGTTATTGGTTACTTGAAGCAAGTATCGATTTCTACTCGGCCCTTGAAACCCTCGATTTGTTGTCAAACTTTGCCTAAACTTTCCTCAAATCAAAACCCAAAAAAAAAAAAAATCAACAAACAAGCATCAAAAAAATTAAAAATCAAAGAACTTCCCACAAAAACTTTTTCGCCACTTTTTTTTTTATCGATTTGATTCAAGTAAAGCCACAGATGTGGCTATTTTTTTGTTGTTTGGGGGGTTTAATACCCCATAAACCCTTTCCCCCTTTTTTGGGGGTAAAAAGGTAAAAAATACCCCAGCTCGAGGAATTTATTTTTATGAAATTACCGGGCTGCATATGCGGTTTATGCGGGATGCAGCCACATATGCAGAGAGCTGCCCAACGCATAATGCATTATGCGACCGCATTTTAAAATCATGGGGAAGAGGGGGAAATGATTGGGAGAAAAGATCGTGGGGTGTAAGGGGTAACAAGTGAGGGTATGTTGGTCTTTAAAAAAAAGAAACTTCTACTTGGGGGGTTAAGTGCAGAGAGAAACAGTAATGGGAGGGGGTCATAATTTTCCCTTTCTGTTTTCTAACAACGAGTTATGAGTTCGACACTTGAAATTCAAAAAACAAGTGCTCAAAAGAATTGCTAAGCATATGGGTTCAGTAAATCAAGTGGCAAACCCATATAATTGAAATTTTTAAGTAAGAAAAATGGATCATGCACTTCAAGTGCCAAACCCATCACAAATCAAAACTCCAAAAGTGTCTATACGGGGTCTCTATTGCATGGAAGATGGGGCTGCCATGTAATCTAGAAGTCCCGGTTTCTATTGGTTGGCACAGAAGCCACGGTTTTCAAATCTACGTTACACATCCCGCAAACAAACATAGGAACTGCAACAATGATGGAAGCGATGGCTTGCAGTAAAAAGAAGCACCCTAAGAATAGATATCCGATCTACTTGATCCAAACATTGAAAAGTTCTGCTCAAACCCAAAACTAAAAATATTGAAAATGAAAGATTTTAGGCTTTTTTTTTTTGATCTAGGCCTTGGATCCAAAAGAGGGAGTCAAAATAACCCCAATCTTTTCTCTCTTTTTTTCACACCTCATGAACCCCCAAACAGTTGAAAAATCGAAAAAAGGCCTTTGGTTTTCTAGTTCCCTTTTGTCATAAGAGCGTCAGACTCTACAAGTCTATAGCATATCAAGTAACTCTCAAAAAACTACATGAGTCCAACACAACCAAGATCTAGGTTTCGAAAGCAATAGGCTCCCCCAACATGATGGGGGTCCTTAGGAATCAACAAGGTGCCAATTTCAAGTGAATTGGGAGAGTCTTAGTCAACCTTGCCGAGTTTTTTATCATTGGTTCAAATACAGATTAGATAACATTCTTACAAATTATATGCCCAAAATCCAGATAAGTCATTAGTGCCTTAGATATGGTGAAATAAAAATCTCATATCACATTCCCTTATCCTTAAAAGACACACGCTCAAGCGGTAAATGACATTGGTAGTCAACCTAAAAGTGAATAATCAACCACCCTATCTAAACATGCTAGTAGCATAGCTTCATATGACCAATTTTACTTAATTAGTTTAAAGACAGAAATTACTACCCTAAAAAAAGGCTAAATACTAAATAACTACATGACGGATTAATGCCTTACAAGCCAAACTCAGGTCAAGACTCGCTAGGACCCCAAGGCCCAATGAGGCACACCCAACTCAACTAAGTCTAACAGGTCCAAGCAAGTTCATGGCAGAAAAGGCAGAAAAGGATTAAAAGGGTCCAAAAGTGTAAGACTCAGGCGAGTCCCATGGTATGCCTATAGTACTCACCAGGGTCTCCAGGTGAGTCAACTCGGGCAAATGCAGAGACCAATTAGTCAACTTTTAAAATAGTGTTACAAACTTTAAAGGCCAAGTAGCTTTAGCCCTTGAAACCCTTCAAAAGTAACCTAGTGTCAAGTCTCTAAAAAAGCATGCACCCAAACTATGTAGCTAGAGAAAAAATTCAAAAGTACAAATTCAGCTTGAATAGACAAATTGATTGACAAGTCTCAACTTAGTAACTTACATTACATAGGAAACAATATGGGTATTTATCAACAAGAACGGTACGAGTTTCAAATGACAATAGCCAACCTAACCATTCTAAATTCAACTAATATAAAAGTAGATTTATCAACACACCTAATTTTCCGATACCGCCGATGCCGTCGATGCCCGAGTGTAAAGCCTGTTAATAGAAGTATATAATTAATACAAAGAAATATAATTTGAACTACAAACTCTACAACCTTATAATGAGGTTCTTTTTTAGAATATAATAAACATACATTATTTTAAGGGTAGAGACCAGCCTAACACCATTGATTTGATTGATGGACAGTGCAGGAGAGAGAGTGAAACCTACCACTTGGGTCCTTTCAAATTTTGGTCAGCCCCACTATGTTTTCAACACTGACCATCCATCAAACTTGATGGTGTTCGGCTGTTCTCTACCATTACTGAGGTAGAAACAGTTCTACAGAAGATTCCTCTATAAATAGAGCATTCAACAAGCGGAATAATTGTAAGGCACCTTTTCAGCTATTGTTTTGGTAATCATAATGTGCTCCATCTGTCGGCAAATAAACAAAAGGAAAAAATGATAAGTACAATAAAACAGACAAATACCAAAAAACAAGTTTGAAGGTAGCCATGCTGCTAAGAAATGAAAAAAAAACCTTTCAATCAAACCGATCACCAACACAACCTAGCTAAGGAAATAAAACCAAAACAAAAGGTAACATTGAAAAATTAATCCAAAGGATAAAGTAGCAAACACAGGCCAATTTTTAGACTTTAAGAACAAAAGATACTCTTTTCTCTCTCAATTTCTAATCATTTCCCCCCCCTCTAAAAGCCTTTCATCTTCTCTTTTCAAAGCTCCACCAGCATAAATTCAACGTCCATCTAAATCATATAGATCTCCAACTTGTGATCTCATCATAAACCTAGAGTGTAAGCTAGACCTTCTGTTGCCTGAACTCTCTCGAGAGAAGCGGTTCTTCTGAGTCCACTCAAACTCAAAGCCCATTGCCGAGCATAATACTCAGGTAAAACTCAGGGAAATTAAAAATAATTAAAATTTATAAAAAATCATATTAATTTATAAAATCAATGTATAAATATCTTATATACATATAAAATCAATGTATCATATTAATTTATGATGATGTATGATTATTTCTTGCATTGTGCCCTATTTTGCATATTTCCTTCCCCTTCTGGATTTTTCTGAACTATAAATCAGTTTTTCTCTAAATCCATCTCTTATATGTTTATCCATCTTATTGGGTACCTTTTTTTTTTTTAGTTTAATTTTTTTTTTCTGTTTTTGTTTTGTTTTGTTTTTGACAATTTTCGTTATTATTTAGGCCTTGTTGGCCCAGTGCACAACCTGGGCCAGTCCGAGTCCTGAGTCCAAGCCCGAGCCGAGTTTTTGAATTGTTTTTAAGCTTTTGCAAACAATTTGTTTTAAGATTCTTTTACACTAACCAGGATCATTTGTTTTAAGCTTGTATCTACAATTGACAAAATATGGTACAAATTTATAAAAACCAATTAGTTCATGAAACAGGTTTCTCTAACCTTATGTTCTGAAGTCTTCAAAAGCTAATCAATAATCAGAGAGAGAGAGAGATTTCACTTGCAACTGAGAAAAGATGGGCACTTAACACTTTCTGAAAAGATTGCTCTGAAAGAAAACACTGCATGCAATCCTTCCTGATGTGATTTAGAGAGAAACTCAACTTGGAACTATTATTCTTAGCGAACCCAAATCCCCCACCACCACCATTGATCAACAAAATCTCTGCATTTGGAAATCACAACAACAGTAACATTACTGAACCCTTTTCTCCTCACTTTCTCTCTCCCCAAAACTATCCCTCGAAAAAACTTACCAGTATAAAGCATATTGATGCAACTTTCCACCATTTTTTCACCAGCAGTCCTCTTCCAACTCTTTGTAAATAAAAGCCTCAGAGACCCTTGCAACTCAAAACCCCGTCGACCCTGAACCTGGATACCCAAAAACCTATTCGCAGTCGCCATGGGTTTATAACCGAGGGACTGAATCTACATTATGCTCCCACGAGCACATATAAGTTTTTGGCTTTTGCTTTTGTGCTCCGCTACGAACCGTGGACACACATGGGTCTGATTGCATATTGACCTCGTAAAAATACATGACACCTCTATGGAGTGCCTAATGGTATTATACCGTTTTTTAACTAATAATATTTTATTTTAAAAATAAAAAATATTTTAGGATAACAAAAGTAGTATAGAATAAAAAATACTTTTATTTATTATGATGTGCAAGCAGTGTAATTATATGATATTAGATGAGCACTTTAGGACCTTATTCAATAGCCATATAATTTTAGATGAGCACTTTCGGACCTTGTTCAATAGCAGCCATGCAACGGGTGTTATATTTTGAATTAATAATTAACTAATGATTTTTAGTTTTTTTCCATTTTGTCATGGTAGAACTGTATATTGGACTATAATAAATTTGTGAAAGGGTCAATAAATTAACTAGATTTCAGGCTGTGAATTGGAGAGACGACGAAAGCACGAAAGAGGATAAAATGATAATCTTTCTTAGAAAATCATATGGCTTGAAATACGAAGTTTTTGTGAACTAGGATCATAATCCTTTTTGTTGAATGCCATAACCAAAAACACATAAATGGATGATTTCTCAAATGACTTGTTTTGTTCAACTTTAGGTAAGAGATATGTCGGTTCAAAAATATAAAGT